CGCGTTTAGACTACGGGATGCAAAAATAAAGTACGCATCAAGGAAAAGTACAATTTTAAAAGAAAATTGCTACCATTAAAAACATCACGTGTTATTAAGAAGTCCATATTTTCCTTAATTTGCATTAATCAGAAATTAATTTTACTGTTACCATGATGATTTTTCGATGACTTGCCTGTTAAACGTACAATACAGCACTTCCAGATGGAGATCATTAGAAGATTCAATCGATCAGCAAGATAACTGCAGAAAGGGAAATGCATTGCAATTCCTTTTACTTTCCAGGGAATTCACAGATCTGGTGCAGCTGAAGTAGCAACAATTCCCTATTCTGCAAGAACGAATCTTTTGCCGTATTCCCGGACATTGTGCAGTTAAGTGGTCGAGGGTTTGGGGATGGTGCATATGGCCCCGCTGAAGTAAACAATTAGTGTTGCATTTATACATGTATAATGCATACATAATACATACTATGCAGTACTAGATTCTATAATCTACTTATGAACCTCTAAAAAAAGGTTAAAAAATTATTGATGCAATTATTTCAATCCACTGCTTCCTCGAAAATGTTCTGCGAATGTATGTGTCAAGGACACACTACGAAAATTAATTTCAGTTATTAGAAATCTTAACTGCATGCGGGTTAAACAAGCGGTATTATGATATATAAAAGTTGGTATGAAGGCACTGACAAGAAACTATTCAACTTATTGAAACTTATTAAAACTTATTTTGAAGCATTTCTTCTCTGGAGATGATGTGGATGGTTGATATTTTTGTTTCCGTTCCAGTTTTGCATATTTTTCATTAACTAGTGCTTTCCTTAAAAGCTCTTTGTTGGATTTTATACCTTCATGCATAAATTATTCAGTTTCAGATTTTAATTCTTTAAGCTTAAAATCCGGGAAAAAAATGTTCCTTTCAACTAACACAAATAATAAATTTTTACTATTTCATAAGCGATGCAGGTTACAGGGTAGGAAAGCCAACAATAATGCAAATTTCAAAGGATATTAATTCTTTTTGTCCTATTTTGCTAATGAAATAAATTTAATATCGGAATAAAACAATTATTTCTTGAAATTAAATGTATTGCTAATTAAAATAATTAATTTAATAAATGAAAATTAATATCTATTTTAAATTAATGGATTTAAATTAGATTTTAAAATAAAAAAATTAACTTATTTTGTTTTAAATAATAGAATTTAAACTGCTCAGTTAATTGCAATATGTTCGGATAATCATATTGTAGAGATATATAAGTCATATTGTAGAGATATGAAGTGTCAGAAAAAAAAAAAAAAAAGGTTTTAGATAAGTTCTTTCTTTCAAACTGAAATTTTGAAAACAAATCGGAATTTTATATCAGCAAAATGCCAGCAGATAATCATTTCTAATATTTATTGTAGACAAAATGGAATCATATCATTATATTAATTTTTTAACCCCGCAAGAGTGGAACTTGAGATTTTTTTTGTTTGGCTGTAACGAATGTTATTTTAGTTTTATACTAAGCAGTTTTGTTCAGTTACTTAGCTTCTCTTTCTTCTTTTAGTTCAGTTACATCTTTCTTCATATCCATTTCTTCGCAAAATTACATTTCAGATTCGGTAGAAAGATACCTGTTACGCTGGTGTCAGAGTTACTTCAGACAGAGCACATTCTGCCCTTCCCCCACATTGTGTCGCTGATATTTAAGTTTGCTACTTTACGGCCGTGCATTTTAAATGCCGGTTTGTGTACGTCGGTAGCAAAGCTAGGGGTCAACTAGCGTTAATCATCTCTGTGCAGCTTCGGCTGATTATTTAACTTAGTTTTAATTTTGTATTTCTATTACGAGTTTCAGCCAAAAGTATTGACTAAGTTTGTAAGCACCAGGAGTGCCGTCTGTAAACTACTTTTTGAGTTGAATAAAAGGGTCTTTTCACTCTACTCACACCTTGATACAGTTTGAACTAGGCTAATATTCCCTTAACAGTTCAAGTAAGGATCTAGCCATCAAAGTAAAGTTAATTTAGCTAGAAACTTAAATAAACATCTGGAATTCGTGAAAAAAAATAGTTTGTTACCTTTTGACGGTAGGTAAGATCTTTATATCTTCAACATTATAACAGTGTAGTCTTCAATACAGTATCAGTTAATTAGTTAAGAAACTATTTTATCTGGATGTTTTAGCAGCATTTTACAACAAAATTCATTTGCACCATGATGTCATAACTAAAATAGTTTATATAATTTAAAAATTTTAAATTAAAAAACTAATAATCTAGAAAACGACAGACCGAATAATTTCTAAATATATTCGATATCATCTATGCCTAAATTAAATTTGATGCTGCTAAGGAAATTTTGCAGTCGTGTTTAGATTGTAAACTTTTATAAATATTTCTGTTTTAATTTTGTATAAGTAGTGATATGTATTTTTGATATTCTTCTATTCATATCGATTCACAGTAATAAAGAAAATGTTGGTACAAAAGCCATATCTTTAAAAATTGAAATTATTTTTAAGCTCAAATGCAATGTTATTTATCAGTAAATATTTTATTTCATAAGCTGACAGCAGTTGTTTGTTTTATCTAAGAAAAGGAAGAAAATATTTTTAATAAACTTCTTAATTTTTTATACATTTTCGCTGTTTAAAATTTTCAGTTGGAAATTCTTATAATTGTTAAAATGTGCTTTCAGGTTAAGTTTATTTTATTTATTGGCCTATATATATGTATATATACAAAGTTTATTTGCAGATGATAACTGTAATTCAAATGCAGTGTCTTTGATCACAGCTCGATGTTCACTGGAAAAACACTGATTTTTCTCCACAGTTTATTTAATTCTAATAAATAATGTTGTTTCATAAATTTTTCTCTCTCCTTTTGAATGTTTATAAATCTTGATTTTCGTGTCACAGAATAATGTACTGATAAAACTGGGATGGAGATTTCAATATGTAAATAGCTATACCCAACTCAGTATAGTTGATTCACATTTGACTGTGATCCAAGTATATCATCAGTTTTAACATGATCTGCTTACGTTGACACTTCGAAAGCTTTTGTTCTGCATATTTAATTAAATCTGCAAGAGAAACTGTAGTGGTATTTCTAATCGTCTAGTCTGCAGGATTCAGATGTCTACTACTTCATCAATCAAACAACACAAGAATTTATTATCCTTCGAACTAAATGATGGTATTTATCTCTCAGTGTTATTGGAAGAGAGAAATCTAATGGTGATATCATACACTTTAAGTGGAAACGGGAGATCATAATGCAAAATTTCGATCTGCTTTCAAGCTATTTGAGGTAAGGGCAACATCAGCTTTATTTTTTGATCTATCAAAATAAATTTGTCTAAATTATGGAATCCCGTTTGGAGTTCCATAATGGAATATATTGTTACTGCATCCATCATATGTTCGGAAATGTAGATACTTCATTCACTGCAAGTTCTGTAAACGCACAACATTTTTCTTACCATTCGTTAGGTAAAATTTCTTTTCTGCATTCTTATTTTTTCACAGACAAATTTAACGTTGGACATATAAACTAAAATAGCGCACTTCAGAACAAATGCTAGATATATTGTAGCAGAAAGATTCATCCTAAATTTCACACATTTGTAGAACTGGTTTTGAAGGTTAAACAGAAACTTCTTCTTCAGCTGCAGGAATGAAAATGACGAAGAAGCACGTGCTCACACAATATCAGTAGAAAACATCCATAAAGTTCCTGTTTAGGAAGAGAGAACAAAGCCTCTGGCATCATCTATTGACAAAAAGGTGAAACAACTATGAAATAATTTCTTGAAGGTAAAGTCCGATTAGAATTGAGATCATTAAACAGAACTGTACTACATTATTATGTAAAGGAAAAAGAACTGACCTACATTACAATTATGTATTGGCTCCCAAATGATATAACATAATTTTCCTAAACTTAGGAGAAACCACCATTGCTTCTGATTGCTAAAATGATATTCGAAATTGCTTCACGCTCTATCAGATTGCTTTCGGAGTTCATTAGTTGAAGATAAATATTGTGAGACATAAAGTGGGAACTATCATGCACAAAACATATGGTCAGACAGCCCAGTCGTGATACTAAAAGGATAAATTGTAAAATCAGTTAATATAGTTCAGCGAGGAACATTAACTAATGTTATGACAAACTAAAACTTATAAAATTATATAAGTTTATTTATACTATTATTATAAATTAAATTGTAGTATCCAAGGTGATTCTAAATTGTTTTTACAAATTGAGAGGGGAGGTAGTATTCATCCTGATCAATAATTACCATAGAACATAAGGTCGCATTCCACTCTGAGACAAAAAAGATGAATATTAGAATTCCAAACTGAACCTATAACAGTGTTGGGAGAGCGAATGAACGAGACAAAAGTTGCACAATCAGTTTAATGAAAACTTCACAGAGTGCACAAAACGGATAAAATCGAAAACTTGCAGTTCGAGTTTTAATTCGAGTTCAGACTTAACTGACGAACACTGAAATGTACATCATTAATATTAATACTATTTTGTATGTCATTAATTTTACTTATTTACTCTTTTTAATAAGTATCTTAATTATTTAGTACGTCATTATTTATTTAATTACTTTTAATTGATTCCATTATATTTTAATCTGTTTTTAATGAATTTTAAAAATAACTCCACGAGCGGGATTCGAACCGCCACCTTTAGTATGGTAGGCGATTGCCCAAACCACTATGCCAGCGAGGCCTTTCAAGCAATGTCAGATTATCGCGTTGAGTAGAAAAACAACCATGACGTCACGAAGCTGGGGGAAACAGGCAAACGTCATCTCTTTCACGTTGCAGCCTGTCGAAACCGCTTCACGCTTTCTGCATCCGCCGTGGCGAACGTATACAATCTTAACAACCAATCAGCATTCCGCTAACAATATCTATCTTATTTCAGCCAATCAGCGTTTCTCTTTCATTTTATATCGCCTATAAATTCGCTCGCTTTCACGATTTCATCATTTCTACTCTGATTCTTGCTGAGTGAACGTCATTTTGACTCTGCCATTTTCCTGCGCCATTTCGTTTTCTTGTACACGATGTCTGCTAAACGAACTTATTCTGCATCTAATGTAAGTATTTTTTCGCTTGTACTTAATTTCTAGATTACTATTTTAAACACGAATTTTATTTCTTTTTGAATGTTTTATTTATTTAAATTTTTAATTGCCAGGTCCTGTTTGAAGATCCTGACTTTCCTTTTCGGGACTCAGATGACGATGTAAGTTTTTACACGTATTTTTAACGCACTTTTTATTTAACGTATTTTATTACTATTTGAATGTATTTTAAACGTATTTTATTTTATTTTGATAGTTAATCGATGAAGTGGATCAGATTTTTCTGGAAAATCCTATGGATCTACCCTTGTATTATCAAGTGGGTTCCGGATTTGAGGTAAACTTTCGTTTCGTTATGATTCGATTAGAATATTTTTTCTAGTACTAGAAATGAATGTATTTATTTTTTATTTATTTACTTATTTTTAGACTTCTCCTTCATCAGCTCGTGGGCCTGTATACATAGCCGGTTCCGATGAACGTTCGGTATATTTTTCTTTTTTACATGATTTATTGAAATAATGTATTTTTGAAAATGTTTGATTCTTAATGAAAACTTATTTTTATGTTTCAGATCGATGAGGCAATTGTTCTTACGGAAAAGTCTCGTCGACGGAACCATAAATATCAGGCCGAGGAGATTACCTTCCACGCTTGTGTGGACATCGAAAGACTGCCTCAAGGCGTGCAAGGCATCCCGATGGTCCGAATTCCTGACACCGTCCGGGAATTGTTCGAACAACTCATTCGCCGTACAGCAGCTGATTTAAATCCATCGGACCTCATCCGATTTTGCATCCAGGCAGAAGGTTTGGACAAACCGATCAGCACTTCCCTCATGGCAGTTTCGACTTAACAGTTGAAAAAGATTTTGGCTGCCTGTGATGAAAGTGCTGCAGTCCAAAGACAAAGATCGAGCTGGATACAGGATTTCGCAGTGGATGTGATCACCATCAGACGACCTGTGGGTGCCGGACGGAAACAGGAAAGTGATCAATATCTCCATGGACAGACTGAGAAAAACAGTCTATTTTGTCTATTCCCTACGACGATGAAGGACTGTTGTGCTAATGCAATTGTGGCGCACATTTGCACAAGGATACAAGCTGCCATCAATGCCTTGAAAGATCATCGTCGCCAATCCAACACTGATGAACCGTGCAAGGGAACTTCATTTGGATGCGAATGTGCCCCTAGGCCCCTGCACTTTTGCTGAAATGCCATATTTGAAGATCACCTGGATGTCCAAATTGCCGTCTTTTCTTCGGAAAATTTGAACCGGAGTAAGTCATTATTATTTTTATCTCAAGATATTTTTTGCTTTTAAATGTTTTCATATTAACTAATTGTTTAGTTCACATTTAATTTAAATTGGTTCTTTTCTATTTATGATAAAATTTATTTGGGTACGTGAATAATTTTTTAAAAAAAGTTTTCAAATATTAATGAACTGAAAAATTGAGACAACTAGCATTATAGTTTATGATTGATTATGTGTTTCCATGTTAAAAAAACTTGAGTACACAGTGAATGTTTAAATTAACTTTATGCCTATATGCAATTTGTTTCGATGTTAAAATATAATGTGGATTTCTAAAAACTGAACGCATGGTGAATTTTTATTTTTAGAGAACTTTAACTTTTTTAATTACTTTTTCTTCTACGTTAAAAATATAATGGGGGAAAACTGAATGTTTCTTTTTCTAAATTGTTCGATTCTGGAATTTATTTTTAGAGAAAAGTTTTTTCGTTTAGAAATTTAAAATATAACGTGGATCTTTACTTTTAGATTACTTTAAATTGTTAGATTAACTTTATATTTTATGCATGTTAAGCAATTAGCTTTGATGTTAAAAAAAAAGATAACTTGTAAAAACGCATGGTGGAATTTTTAGATTCTTTTATATTTTATGCATGCATGCTATTTCTTTAGACGTTAAAAATATGCCTTATAAAAATGGCTAGTGAATTTTTAGACTACTTTAACTTTTAAGATTATATTTTTATGCATATTCACGCATAAAATGCATGCATGTAGGAAATTTGTTTAGATATTCAAAATTTAGGGTGTATAAAATCGAAAGTTTTAGATTATTCGATTTAAGGAAAAGTTTTTTCTGTTTAGATGTTAAAATAAAACTTGTGAAATTTTTACTTTTAGGTTACATTAACTTGTTTAGATTATTTTTATATGCAATTCGTTTTGATGTTAAAATTAAATGCACAAGGAATTTTCAGATGATTAGGCATGTAATTAGTTTAGATGCTTAATGCACACGTAATTTTTAGATGATTATGTATATGATTCGTTTCGATGTTAAAAATATATCTAAAAGAGTTTGATTTTGGAATTTAAGAGAAAATTTTTGTCTGTGTTTTAGGTGGTCTATAAAGGGAAAGAGAGGGGCACAACGGATCAATTTGTGGCTTCACGATGGACATTATGATGTCATCAAATCCCTGAAAGGATTTTTCGGTAGCAACCATTATTGCACAGCCTGTGAAAAGGCCCTATGAATCATCCGGAAAGCCACCGATGTGCCAATGCCTGCCCATATGCCTAAGGACCTGACTGCTTTCCAGGCCAGCCTCAGCGATGCCAGGATTGTGACCGTCTCTGCCGCTCCGATGCCTGCTTCGAAGCACATAAAGCCGTCACTGGGAATCAAGAGTTTTCACTTTGCGACAGGGTAAGTGTTTTTTGAAAATGTATCTTAATGAACAAAGTTAATTATCATGTACTTTTTTTTTTGAAATGGTTATGTTAAAAAAAAAATTATTGTCGTTACAGGTATACCAGTGCAGGGAATGCTGCCAAGTGATTCGGAGGCGGGATTGCCCTAAAGATCTGCACAAGTGCGGAACCACCAAATATCCCTCTTGCGGCCAGTTTGTCGTGGCTGCTGAGCACCGTTGCTATTTGCGACGTGTCGCCCCGAAGAATTCCGAGGATAAGCTCATCTTTTTTGACTTTGAAACGGACCAGTCTTCGGGGGAGCATCTTGTGAATTTCGCGGTGGCTCAGTATGCCGACGGCACAGAGAGAGTGTTTTCAGGCTATGCGGCTTGCCAAAACTTCTGCGCCTGGCTGTTTATCACACAGCACAAGGGCTTCACCGCCGTGGTAAGTTAAAAATACCATAGTTTGCATGCTTTAGTTTTCATGGCTGTTTTTTTTCAAAATTATTCATAATTTTTTTTACTTACAGGTTCGACGGTCAGTTCGTGATGGCCTGGCTCCTGGAGCAAGGCACAGCGCCGGAGGTGATCCCTAACGGGTCTATGATCATGAGTGTAAGACACCCTAGTCTGAACATTCGGGTCATAGACTCGTTAAATTTTCTACCGATGGCGTTGGCCAAACTGCCGGGATGCTTCGGTCTCAGCGAGTTGAAGAAAGGATACTTTCCCCATCTTTTCAACTCGCGAGAAAACCAAAATTATGTCGGACCGCTGCCTGAGGCCCGGTACTACAGCCCGGATACCATGAGCACTTCAGCCCGACAAGCATTTCTGTCCTGGCACGAAGAACATAAGGGGGATGTGTTTAACTTCAAGCAGAGATGCTGGCCTATTGCAGGTATATTTTTTTCTTCTTGTTTTATTCTTATATTTTATATTTCGTATTTTTTAACATTTTCATTTTTTTTAGATCGGACGTGGACATTCTTCGTCGCTGTTGCCTGGAGTTTCGAACCCAGTTTTTGGATGTGGCGAATGTGGATCCATTCCAGTAAGTTCATTTTCTCATTTTCTTATACAATAATAATCATATTTACAGTTCATTAAATCGTTTCTATTTTTGTCTTTTCAGATACGTGACCATTGCGTCAGCCTGTATGGCAACGTATCGGAGTGGCCACATTCAACCCGACACGATTGCCATGGTGCCCTACACACGGCTACGTCAACTCAACGAATTACAGCCCTGATTCGATCCGGATGGTTGGACTTTGTTGCTGCTTCGGAAGGCCTACAGATTCAACATGCGTTGAACGGTTCCGGAGAGCACAGAAGTCGCCGGAATCTCGGTAGACGGATTCTGCCAAGAAACACAAACCGTCTATCAGTTTCAGGTAAGAAAATATAACCATTCTTTTTTCTATGTGATTCTTTTAATGATTTTTATATTTAAACACTATTAATATATATTTGTATTATTTTAGGGCTGTTTCTTCTTTCACGGGATGTAGTTCGTGTTACGATGGTGATGTCATTCATCCACTAAAAGGAGTTTCCATGGCAACGTTAAGAGAAAAGACAGAAGAGACGATAAGAAAGCTTCGTACCCAGGGTCTCCACGTCATAGAAATGTGGGAGCATGAGTTTCAAAGAGAGAAGGAGGAAAATCCAGATCTCCAAGCTTTCCTGGAGCAACACCATCTGAGGGATCGACTCAATCCTCGCGAGTCTTTTTTGGAGGAAGGACCAATGCCCTCAAATTGTTCCACGAGGGAGACGCAAAATATGTTGATTTTACGTCACTGTATCCATGGGTTCGTACTTTTTTATTATTTCAAAAATGTTTACTTAAACTTTTCTAAATTTTCTGTATATTTTTATGATGTGTTTTTTCTGACTTTTTTTGTTTTCATTCACAGGTGAACAAGTATTGCGTCTACCCTGTGGGACATCCAACAATCATCATGTAAAGCTTTGGAGATGTGGAAGATTACTTTGGTCTTATCCAATGCCGCGTGATTCCTCCAAGAAATCTATATCTTCCGGTACTGCCCTATCGGTGCCGGAAGAAGCTGATGTTCCCCCTGTGTCGGACTTGCGCCCTTCTTCAACTGCAGACTTCCGTGTACCCACACAGACGACGAGCGAGCTCTTGTCGGAACGTGGGTAACGGAGGAAGTCAAACTGGCGAAAAAGAAAGGTTACCACCGCATCACACATGTAAGTACTCAAAGATTATTTTAATCTTTATTTAGTTTCAGAGGTTACTTTTAAAAATTTTTTCATAACTGACATTTATTTTTTATTTTCTAGATTTACGAAGTGTACCATTTCCAGGCATCGTCTACTTCTCTGTTTCAGATCCATACATTGATCTGTTTCTGAAGATCAAGCAGGAAAGTAGCGGATGGCCTTCGGAGTGTGTGACGGAAGAAGCCAGACTGAAGTACATTCGCCAGTATGAAGAAAGAGAGGGCGTCAAGTTGGACGCTGGAAAAGATTTCCAAAAACCCTGGGCGTCGACAAGTTCGCCAAGTTGGCCCTGAACAGTTTCTGGGGCAGGTAAGATGATTTCTTTTGGTACTTAAATTTTTTGTAAACATTTTTAATTCTTTGTGATTTATGATAGCTTTTTTTTTTCACTCAGATGGGGTATGAACGTCAACAAAGCCCAACTGACCTATGTCCATACGGTGCCAGACTTTCAATAAGATGTTGGCGGATCCTACTAAAAAAGTAAGTTTTCCTTACCGATTTTATTCATCTGTAAACTCAATGTGTTTCAAACTGTTAACTTATGACTATATTTTGAATCTGTTTTACCCTGCCACTCTTCAGATGACTCTTTTCTACATTTTTCTCAAGCTGTATAGTGAAATGGAGAAGCTGGTTCGAGATGTCCTGTACCACGACACAGACTCCATAATATATGCCTCAAATGGAAGAAATGATCCCCCGTTAGGAAATTTTCTTGGAGAGTTCACGGATGAACTGGATGGAGATGTCATTAAAACCTTCGTCTCTGGTAAGGACCTTTAAAAAGTTCTTTATTTAATGTGTACCAAAAATGTTTAATGTTTTTTCTATTATCTCTTTTTTTCTCATGATGTTTTATTTTTTCAGGAGGACCGAAAAACTATGCTTATCAGACGGCCACTGGGAAAACCTGCTGCA